AATACAAAGCCAAGTCAATAACCAAAATCAATCACAGAAATAGCACTGAGGGAACAGACAAGCTGGAACCATGACAGGGCAATGACTCACTGTAAGTGAGTACATTTTATACCTTGGCTCTTTAATTGATGTCCACGCCCCCAAAACGTCCTGGTTTGGACTTTTCGGCGGGCCGTGAAGTCATGAAGTCGGTGAAGTTGCGCCGCGTCATAAAACGGGGAGGGGCTATCGTGGCTGGCGTCTAAACGGCCGAAATGGCTGAAGAAGATGGGTGCCTGTGTGCCTTCCTGAGAATGGGCGTCCAGATGCCCAACCTCCTCTACAGTGGCTACAACAGGTACCATGACAGATATACACTAAAGGGAGAATTCAACGTGAATTGCAAATTTGAGGTAAAAGTAGCTGAAATGGAAAGATTTGCTAGGTAAGCTATGCTTCCAGTTCTCTTACATTTTAAATTCATTTTGAATTTACTTAGAATTCTCACTTTGGTGAACAGCCCTGTGAGTTCAATATGGCCCATTTTCTTGCCACTTTCTTCGTTTTGATTCTACAAAGTCATTGAAACTCTTGTAGATGGATTACAGGGCAAATGGATCTGAGGCTTTTCATTGTATCACCACCCTGTATAAGAATCAGAACATCTGAATGTACAGGAAGGAGTATTTCATTAGTGGGTTATAAGGTTACTTGGAAAATATACTCACATACCAGGGGAACTCTTTAAATTCCTTGTTCAAAAATGTCACCAAAGTTGAGTATCATGTGTTAGAGTTAAAAATATTGCCCTGCAATAAACAAAATAGAGATCAATTGTTACAATCTGTATAAAGCTCAATGTTACGCTCTTTCAATGAGTTTAACCAATGCCCACCAATAACGCCAGACTGCACGTCTTATTTGCAGTGAAATTGTCACCCCCTGCAGAGACAGGTACAGCTCTTTACCCAATGTGTTTATACAGTTTCTTTGGTACTTGTTTTATTTTTACTTTGCTAAGGAGATTCCAGAGGGTGCTAGTATGAAAACCTTCTCCTAAACCTAGTCCCTAGTCCAGGTGGTGGCCCAACGTAGATCTCCTGGTGTTGTTGACCTATACTTATCATGGAACTCTAACTCTGGCTGCCCCAGTCGTTCCATTGCTTATATCCACGTGAATATGTTTGTTATCTCCTACGCATGTTACCATAAACCATTTCTAGTTCTTTTCATGTTAGTTGACTTCCTGATCTGCATTTTAGTCCAGAGCACTGTTTAAGGGTTTGAGATTCTACCACCATTGCAAAAATTGCTGCATCTACCGTGGAAACCAATTTAATATTGTAACAGTTTCTTCTGTTTTCCAAAAATTACCATGGATCAGCTCTTTATACTTGAAGCAGTTTATCCTTAAAAGTCACTGCTTTACATTCACACTAAGCCTAATATTGTCAAACTACAACACACAGTAAGCACTGACAGTTTTGTTTCTTTTATTTACACTTTTGTACATGTTACTGTCAGGGCCGGTGCAAGACCTTACCCCCAAGTCAAAAAAACGAAAATAGCCAACTTTGTGTGTCCATTTCTTCCCCAGCCCCTTTGTGGGTCTCTTTCTCCCTAACTACTTTGTATGTCTCTTTCTCCCCTTCTCCAACCCCCGTGTGTCATTTCCCCCTCCCCTCTTTGTGTCTTTTTGCCCACTCAACCCCACTGTGTTTATCTGTCCCCCCAGACCCTCTGTGTGTCAGCTTGTCCTTCCTCAGCCTCTCTGTGTGTCTCATTGTCCCCATTTCCCTCTTTGTGTCTTTTTGCCCACTCAACCCCACTGTGTTTATCTGTCCCCCCAGACCCTCTGTGTGTCAGCTTGTCCTTCCTCAGCCTCTCTGTGTGTCTCATTGTCCCCATTTCCCTCTGTGTGTCTTTTTGTCCCCCCAACCCCTCTGTCTCATTCTTTCCCAGCCCCTTTGTTGTCCCCCCGGCCCCTCTGTCTCATTCACCCGCAGCACCTCTGTGTGTCTCTTTATCCCCCCATTGTCTACACGCAGGGACCAGCAGGAGGGAGCGCTGTGCTGTGCGCTACCCTACTACTGGTCACCCGGAGACTGTGTACCCCAGCCCAATGTGCTCTAATCTGCCTAGTGGTCGCGCTGGTATATATATACAGTATCTCACAAAAGTTAGTACACCCCTCACATTTTTGTAAATATTTTATTACCGTATTTATCGGCGTATAACACGCACCTCATTTTAAGAAGGAAATTTCAGGAAAAAAACCTTAAATTTCAAATAAAGAACTTCTTACCCCCTTCTTACTCCCCCCCTCCCTCTTCTTACCCCCCTTTCTTGCTCCCCTCCCCCTCTTCTTACCCCCTTTCTTACTCCACCTTCCCTCTTCTTACCCCCCTCCCCTCTATTTACCCCCCTTCTTACCCCCTCCCCCTCTTCTTACTCCCCCCCTCCCCCTCTTCTTACCCCCTCCCCTGTAGCGTGGCCGAGCTGCTCTGCTGTCCGCGGTGGCCGGCCGGAGTGATAGGAAGGTGCACGCTCAGTGTGCACCTTCCTGTCAGTCCGACCGGCTACAGGAAACAAAAACTCCTGTTCCGCGCGGTGAGGTGAGAACCAACTGCAGCCGCCTGACCGCTCTTGACAGAGCGCTCAGGCGGCTGCAGCATTTAAAGGGCCGGCGTATAACACGCACCCATAATTTGCCCCCTATTTTCAGGGAGAAAAAGTCTGTGTTATACGCCGATAAATACGGTATATCTTTTCATGTGACAAGACTGAAGAAATTACACTGTGTTACAATGTAAAGTAGTAAGTGTTCAGCCTGTATAACAGTGTAAATTTGCTGTCCCCTCAAAATACCTCAACACACAGCCATTAATGTCTAAACTGTTGGCAACAAAAGTGAGTACACCCCTAAGTGGAAATGTCCAAATTGGGCCCAAAGTGTCAATATTTTGTGTGGCCACCATTATTTTCCAGCACTGCCTTAACCCTCATGGGCATGGAGTTCACTAGAGCTTCACAGGTTGCCACCGGAGTCCTCTTCAACTCGTCCATGATGACATTACAGAGCTGGTGGATGTTAGAGACCTTGCACTCCCCCACCTTCTATTTAAGGATGCCCCACAGATGCTCAATAGGGTTTAGTTCTGCAGACATGCTTGGCCAGTCCATCACCTTTACCTTCAGCTTCTTTAGCAAGGCAGTGGTCATCTTGGAGGTGTGTTTGGGGTCGTTATCATGTTGCAATACTGCCCTGCGGCCCAGTCTCCGAAGGGAGGGGATCATGCTCTGCTTCAGTATGTCACAGTACATGTTGGCATTCGATGGTTCCCTCAATGAACTGTAGTTCCCCAGTGCTGGCAGCACTCATGCAGGCCCAGACCATGACACATCCACCACCATGCTTGACTGTTGGCAAGACACACTTGTCTTTGTACTCCTCACCTGGTTGCCGCCACACATGCTTGACACCATCTGAACCAAATAAGTTTATCTTGGTCTCATCGGACCACAGGACAGAGTTCCAGTAATCCACGTCCTTAGTCTGCTTGTCTTCAGCAAACTGTTTTTTCGGGCTTTCTTGTGGATCATCTTTAGAAGAGGCTTCCTTCTGGGACATCAGTTTAATGCAGTGTGCGGCATATGGTCTGAGCACCGACAGGCTGACCACCCACCCCTTTAACCTCTGCAGCAATGCTGGCAGCCCTCATACATCTATTTCCCAAAGAGAACCTCTGGATATGACGCTGAGCATGTGCACTCAACTTCTTTGGTCGATCATGGCGAGGCATGTTCTGAATGGAACCTGTCCTGTGAAACCGCTGTATGGTCTTGCCCATCGTGCTGCAGCTCAGTTACAGGGTCTTGGCAATCTTCTTATAGTCTAGGCCATCTTTAGGTAGAGCAACAATTAATTTATTCAAATCCTCAGAGAGTTCTTTGCCATGAGGTACCATGCTGACCTTCCAGTGACCAGTATGAGAAAGTGTGAGAGCGATAACACCAAATTTAACACACCTGCTCCCCATTCACACCTGAGACCTTGTAACACTAATGAGTCACATGACACTGGGGAGGGGAAATGGCTAATTGGGCCAACTTTTGTTGCCAACAGTTTAGCCATTAATGGCTGTGTGTGGAGGTATTTTGAGGGGACAGCAAATTCACACTGTTATACAGGCTGTACACTTACTACTTTACATTGTAGCAGAGTGTCATTTCTTCAATGTTGTCACATGAAAAGATATAATAAAATAATTACAAAAATGTGAGAGGTGTACTGACTTTTGTGAGATACTGTATATATGAGAGGGTTGAGGCAGATTGTTTATAAACATTCAGCTAATACATACGAATGCAAAAATAAGTTGAACATAAAATGTTGGTTAGTTTTTATTAAGGTAAATGATAGTTTGAATTATAGTTTCATAATATACCTATTATTTTCTGAATTCCTGAAATCATTAGGAAAAAAATAAAAACAGTACATTCACGTTCATGTGTGTGACGAGTGTGATTTAGCATCACATTCGGTGTAAACAACTGTAAATGTGTGCATCTAATACACAATAGGTTGTAAAATCTTATTGCCAATTTAACTGTATTGAGATATTTTATCCTTCAGGTGACCTTGTTTTGTTCACATTTGGTAGTTACAGTGATAGGTGATAAACCGAAATATACTGGGAATAACTCGGCAAAGAGAGTGAGATGGACTTGCTTTTTCACAGCCTTGATAAAATTACAATTTATTCCACTTTTTATGAACAGGTGGAATTCATATTGACTGCGGACGGTCTTTTTCCTTGGACTGTTTTCTCTATTTGGCGAATGTATAAATGTCTCTGAATTATGTTCCAAGTGGATAATATTATTGTGTTTTTTTCTTCCAGTTTTTATATTATTTATGCACACACAGACACAAATTATCTTTAAAAAGAATCTGATTTTATTTTGTATTTCATAAACTGAATAAATAATAAACAGAATAAAATGTTTATAAAATTGCAATATTTTATACATGGCTAATAGCAACATATTAGCAAAACCGGGAATACGACAGATTTGTACTGTGTGTTTAATAAGTAAATTTGTTTTGGAGCAAATTGCAATTTAACAAATTTGGGCCGATTAATTCCTGCATTTCGAGCTAAAATGTACCCAAAATATGCGCCACGCAAAACGCTCAGTGCCAAGTATGTTCAGGTCGGCATCATGTTTCTGAACTCCACCTGTGATGTCCAAAAAAAGAGATGATTGGTAAGAAAACATGTTGACTGATAACTATGGGACAGTCAATAAATATTGATTTATTTTACAGACCAAGTGAGAAGTGAGGGATAGACAGGATAAGAAAATGAAACGCAGTAAAAAATAAATAAATCTATATTTGTATGTTATATAGTTAATAAATGTTCCTCTTGTATTTGCGTAACTTTTTTTTCACATTATCTGTGAACCAAATGGGGGTAAATGCTCCTCTCAATGTACGTCAATATATAGATAATATTATGTATATATTTTGCAGCACGGTGATTGGCCGCTTTTTTTAATTGTTTTGTTCTTCTGATTCGGTTCCCAAATTAGAATCTCGGTTCTGAAGTTCTGTCAAACCAACATCTAAAATGTTCTTCTTCCATAAACAAATGGTACAGCCAAGCTAAATATTCTAGCTGTGCACAAGTCTAATAATAGGTCTGTGCAATAAGTCAACTTCTTAGAAAGCGACAATATGAATTAATAGGACGGGATAATCATGCAACAATCAGGGAGGTTCATTCTCTAAACCGTGAATGACGGACAACTGAAAAGGGGAACTAAGACAAAATTGTTGACTTGTTTTTCCAGTCAGCTATTTTTCTATTTCAGCCTATTTTGTTATATAGAAAAAGACCATTTTAGTGATTAATTCGGCAAGTTTCAAATAGAATTTCTAAGCAAGTTGAACATCAGGCTTTCTACGAGCAAGATACAATAAAATTGGGGATTAGGATAGTGAGATCTAAACAACCAACACTCCATTCTGATGGGGATAGATGCTATGGAGTACCCTATGGGGATAGATGCTATGGAGTACCCTATGGGGATAGATGCTTTAGAGAGATGCACAATGCCAAAGAGAAAGTAGGCCCGGGGAGCAGCAAACCACACAGTATCCGACAAACAAAATTTCGAAAGAGTTTCAGAATGTCTTACATACAAAACTCCACCAACTATTACGAAAAAAATGTACTTTTAGAAAATACTGAAGCTCTTTTGATATAATTTCAGAAAGTTAGAGACGAGGTGGCACTACCTGTGTGACTCGTAAATTTAATTCACATCTTTGGCATTCAAGATTTTTTGCATTTTGTTTTTAGATTTTTAAATTGTATTAATTGCGTCCTTCTCACAAATATCATATTCACTAAAATGGGCAAAAATAGATCCACACATCAGCAGTCCCCATGTTACTGTCATTTAGAACATCAGTTAAAAAAAAGTAAAAAGAATGGTTTATGTATTCATTGGTTGCAGAAAAGACTCCAAGGGTGTATTATTTAGAACATGAAGTCGATATAATAGCATTATAGCAATAAAATGGAGAGATGTCATTCTTGGGACTATTCAGTTCATGTAACTATATAATATTCCTTATAGCTGTGAGCGAATATACTAGACGTTTGCTAAAAGTATGGATATAACGTGCTTTTAATGCTACTTTCAGTAAGAGGAGATGACAGCTGAACCCCTTACGGTCATAAGACGGAAATTTTACTTTTACTTCTGAAGTTGTGTCCTTAATTAAAACCAGGCTTCAGTATATCAAAGTAGGTAACAGGAATTGCACTCCGTCCGCAAGCCAATTAGGTGCTTAGCTAGATCATAGACCAGCACTCGCCCATCAGAACATAGATCTAAAAATATCAAAATATTGGGTGAAACATTGTGTTGTTTTGCTGGTTCCAATAAACGTGTCCTTAAGCATTGGAGTGCCTGGACCTGTTTTTTTCATATCTGTATATCAAAGGTGTTCATGTTTTGATGTGCAAATTCCCTGTACTGGGTGGTGAGAGTTGAGGACTCAATGACATCATAATTTTGTGGCAGCTATAGCGTTGTTGCGGAGTCCTATAGCTGAATTTGGTTACATGGCAGCTTAAGGAGCTATTCAGGATCAGACAAAAAGTAAGTAACCTTGATTCTATAAAATGTTGTTTTACTTTGTAACATGAAGCCAGTCTTGTGCAAACATAAGCGCTCTAATGGCGAGAGAGAAAATTGCATCTACTGAGGAACAGTAAAAAGGTCAGAATGGTAAAAACCCACATAGAATGGACAATGGTATTTCAATAAGAATAAGAAAAGAAACGGAAGAATGAGCTATTTATCCTATAATAATATGTACAAGTAAAAAAATATACATTGTATTAATAAAGTGCATATAAAATACTGACTTTTCACATTTCAACTGTTCCTCTTTTTATGTTAGTTAATAATTTTTTTTCCTTTTGAGAAACTATTTAAAACATATGATGAGAATTCCCATCCCTTATTCTCACACACAGCATTCCCACATTTTGTAAGAGTGGTTTGGTACATCCAGCCCCAGCTCATCTAGAACCCACAATGTGACAATGTAGCCATTTTCGGTTTAGTTAATCCTCCATGTGTTCACAATGAAGATGCTCCAGAACGTTCCTACTAGACCCTTTTATTGAGCACAGTAATCCTTAGCAAAGTTGGTCTACGGCACAATCATTCCTCATGGATCTTCAGAAAAGTGTCTTTTTGTGTTAGTGGCTGTCTATGCAAGCCATGCAATTCGGTTGAATCCTTCACTGGATTTTTGGCACCATGTACTCCAAACCCAGCTTGTAGCTTCCCCCTGAGTGTCAGGATTGATTGGCTGCACTCATATTGGGCACAGCACTCAGCTACTTGGATGCAAACAGAACCATCTGTTACACCTCTAGTTAAAAGAACATAAAGTTGAGCATTTCATATAGACAATACCACCCCTGATAAAACACTTAGTAAACACGGCTCCCTTTCTTCTTCTCTTGGCACAATCTCCCATTGTGGTAGGTACAATAAGGGGAAGCAAAAAAGCAAGAACTTAATCGAAATGGTTATCATTGCTCTTTCGTAATGAATCTCTTTACATGCAGACAGAGTTCAATCTACCAGCCTATTACCGTATAGACCACAGGAGCATTTTTATTTGGGATTGGTACATATCTAGAATGCAGAACAGATACCAAGTGGTACAGTTACAGAAACACGTTCCCTCTGCCATCGCAAGGTTATGCGAGTCCCTTGAAATGGTGTATTTAACATAAAAAAATCATTAAGCAGCAATCATAAGCATCATTAAAAAATGTTGTAGATTTGTTTACCCTTAAGCAGATCTTAAAGATGGGTTGCGTGTTTGTATCTGTTTCCAAGTAGTGCCAGTTTGCAGATATTTTTAAGTATCTTACATCTGTATTTTTGGAATACATTGCTGAATCTATTGGCTGTTACCAGTTTGAGCTATATAATGCTCATGGATAAATATCTATGGAGATTAATGAGTTTTGTGAGATTTAATGCTATGATTAAACATGTTGATGGACAGAAGGATGGATAAATGGACAGATGGACATATACATAGGAAAGTAGATATTTTCTTCAATTCTCCAACTTAGGTATTGTGACCTACAACTCCCAATTACCTGGTCAATTCTCAACAATTCCTTAACAGTGACTGCGTGTTCAGGTGGTCCATAAAGAAATACTAAAGAGGTACTTCAGCTTCATTGATATCGTTAGTATTAAAGATATTATGATTATTGGCTTAGAATAAATTATAGCCATAAGTATAAATGTCTGGAGTTTATTCTTGGAACATGAAGTCAGTAAATTGTTGTCTTGCAAACTATAGGCTGAAAAAACAAAGTTGGATCAATCTGCCGTATTGTAGATTCTAAGAGTGCTCAGATCACTGTTTAGTGAATAGATTTTTAATTTCCATGTCAAACATTCTATGCTTGCATGGACTTGGTTGTGGAGAACCAAAACAAGCCAAACCAGAATCATAACAAACCAAATCAGAACCATAATAAAAAATAAGTAGAGACTAAAGACAAAAGCTTCTAAACTGTTTGGTCACTAGATCAAGCAGACTCAGCTTGGGATGGAGTAAACTCCAGAAACCCGCTGGTCATTGATATAACATGCCAGAGAAGGGTCCACCTCCCTTACCTGCCGTTGTTCAAGGGTGGAACTTGGTGTTCTTGGAACTACTCCATAACTTACTATTTATTTAAAGGGTTATTTCAACCCCCATAACTACCATGGTAGTAGGAGCCTGGGTGTGTAGTGTTCTGTTTGAAACACTGCACATCGAGAGTAATATGCACTTTTGCACAGGTGGAAAGTTGTACCCCCTAAACATGTGACTTAGGCAAGTAAGACACATTGGCTATGGGCAAGTATGGAGGATGGCCTCTGGGGTAATTTGCCATTATGCGCTCCACCTGATTCCACAGTTGTTGTTATTTCAAGTACACCCATACCATATGCACGCTTTGTGTAAAAGATTGTGACTTGTAGCCAAACAAAGAAGTTACTTTATGTGATTAGTTGCATAGTTCTGGCTGTGTTTATATATTTCGTTTTTACAATTCTTATCTATCGCTGTTACCCGGTGTATTTACCTGTTCGCTCATTCTGCCGTATTGCTCTAAACTGTTACCCCGTATTATCTATCAGTAATCGCTTTGCTCCCTTAGACCTGACCTGTTAGGCATTTGCTTCCCGGTATTATAAATACATATACATTAAACTGAAGACACGGTACACTCCACAAATCTGTTTCATTTTATCTAGAGGATTGTCTTTCAAGCAGCTGGACGACACATTTGCCAAGAGGGGTTCCTTCTATTTCCTGCTGCACCCAGTAATTTATATCTATATCTGCTACTCAACGAGACGTTACTATTACCATCTTATGAGGGATGGTCTGGCACCGCTTTGTGTTATTTGTGTATAGAATCCCTATAGTTTGTCAGCTTGTTTGCTGTTCCTGTATGTTAGAATGAAATGTTTGTCTTGTTTACCTATTGTACACGGCTGCAGAATATGTTGGTGGAATGTAACTAATTGTAACTGTAAGGGGTATACTTTTAACACACTATTCAGGAATTGTTATTGTATGTCCTAGACCTAGAGCAATGGCTCTAAAGCTTCTTTTTTACAGGTACTCAGATGATATGCATGCCATTAGCTGGGATACCCATGTTTCAGTTATAATATTAAATTAATGGAATGGATTCTACACCTTCACAAGATTCTTCCGAGGATCCGAGGGTCCG